AGCCCACTGGTGTGAGACTCCCCCAGCCCCCTAGGTCCTGGCATCATGCCATTTCCTAGTCAGGGAGCCGGGAAGTTCAGAAGGGCAGGGAGGCTCTGGGCTCAGCCTGGGTGGCGCTGTGATTAGAGCAACGTGGTTATTACATGAGCCCTGCCTCCCCTGCTTTGTCAGTGGTGGCAAGAAGCCCGCATCTGCCTCAAAGCCCAGCTTGCCAAAACCTCACTGTGGGGTCTCCCAGTTACTGAAGGTGCTGGCCATGACCCAGCCCAGCTGGCAGATGAGACCCAAAGGCAGATGTCTGGGTCAGCCCAAATGGGGCCTGGACACCCAATCTCTATGGACATGGAGGCAGCAGGGGCCTGCGGGGCTGCTTGGCAGGAGTAGAGCTGTTGGAGGTGGCCCCTTCTCCACTCTGCCCTCAGAGCCTGACTGTTACAGTGGAGGCTTAGAGGCCTAGGAAGGGACAGTGGCACTTACTGGGTACCTTCTGTGGGCTGTAAAAGGGCTGGGTGCTTTACAGTGCTCCTCGACTAATGCTTCTGATAGCTGAATATTAATATCCTTATTTCACAAATAAGGGAACTGAGGCTGGGAGAGGTCAAAGAAGCCTGGGTGCTCAGTCCACAGCCCCTCTGACTTTAATCTCTTCTTCCCCAACATGTGGAGGTTGTTTGAACCCCAGTGATGGCGAGGAGCTCACTCCTGCCAAGACTCTCCCTTTGGGCACACCTGAAAGAAAGCTCTTCTCAGTGTGGGCTGAAATTGGCCCCCTGAAACTCCCAACTTAGGCTGGAGCACCAGCTCTAGGCTGCACGTGGAGCCAGGCCCTCTGTCCCCAAAGCAGCCTCCAGAGAGTGAATACAGTGGGACATCCCCAGTTAACCAGTGGGCCTCCCTTGGTGCCTGCTCCTCAGCCTTGGTTTCCCCAGCTCTAAAGGAGGGATAACAACAGCCCCTCCTACAAGGGGAGGTTGAGAGGCTTTAGGGAGTTAATGAGCTCTGAACATTCCAGGAGAATCCAGAGTCTTCAGAGAAGCTGCAGCCAAGCGGAAAGGCTCAGAGGGCTTTCCAAAGGACTGACTCACCTTCTCCAAAGGAGGAAGTGGCCATGATCGGAGCAGTCCTGTGGTGGGCGCTGGGATGCATGAGTCTGTCATGAGAGAGCATTTCACCTGCACTGTCCTCACTCTCCCAGGCCTCGCATGAGCTCACCTGGCCTACCCTAAGGAAGCAGCTCAGTCTTGCAAAAGGATGACATGGCTTGACGCCAAGCAGGTCTGAGTTCAAGTCCTTCATCTGCCATTTGCCAACTGTGCAGTGCATGTAGCCATCGGTCACTTCTCTGCTCTGAGCCTTGGCTTCTCCAGCTTGGAGGCTGTGGTGCATAGCAGAGTGTGAAGCTAAAGGTGGGCTGCCCCTCAAGTGCAGAGCTGAGCACACCCCAGGCATGGTCCTCACTGGGGACAAAAAAGCCACCCCTGTTACTGTCCTCCCTGCCTCTCTACCCACTGAGAGGGATTGGAGAAATGCAGCCTAGAAGTGCCCCATGTCTTTGCACACTCTGTTACCCCTGCTCACCATGATCTTCCTGGCAGACTCCTCTCTACCCTCAGTCCCTCCAGACTGAGTCCCTCCCTCTCTGTGAGGCAGGACAGTGCAGCAGGAGAGGCATATATCAGCAACCCACTGATGGGGAAACTGAGCCCCACAGAGGGGAAGTGTTCAGTCCAGGAGCACGCAGTTGGAGGAGGAGAACTGGGATTCCAACCCAGGCCTCCTCTGCTTCTCCTAATGCAACTGCACGCGGCACTTGAGACCTTCCCCAATTTGTCCCCCACACATGCCCTGCACATCCACACCTCAGGGCCTCTGCCCACACCATAAACCCCAGCCTGGAAAACCTGCCCTTCTCTCCACCCACCTGGACCTTATTGATCTTTAAGGCCCCACCTACTCTTCCCTGTCCATCCAGCCCAGTCCACAGTCCCTGGAGCATGCTGCCCACTTGTCCACCCGACCCTCTGCCCCATCCAAGTCCTCTCCACCTTTCAGGTCACCTCATCTATGCCCCCACTTTTAGAAGGCTCCCTCAACCAGCTAGACCACTTTTGCCTCCAGACTCATTCCTGATACCACCCCGCTCCACCTGCTCTGGGATTTCTTGCTCAGAGTCTGTCTCCCTCCCCAGACAGGGCTGTGCAGGCAGGGCAGGGGGTCTTGTTCACACATGTCGCCTCAGCACCCAGCACAGAACCTGGCACAGAGCAGGTGTTCAACACCTGCTGTCCCTGCACAGTATCCATCATCTTTCCTTTCATTCAACAAATGGTTATTGAGCACCTGCCTGTGTTGGAGACCTGGGGTCCAGCAGTGAGAAGACGGGCAGGGCCCTGCTCTAATGCAGGCTGCCCTCTAGTAACACGTACACATATACTGTAAGGTCTAGTGGAGATAAGTGCTATGGAGAGCAAAGGGCAGGGAAGAGAAACGGAGCAGGAAAAGGCGGGGGGAGGGCGGCGAGGGAAAGTCTCTGAGCAGGTGACTTTGATCAGAGTTCTGAGGGAAGTAAAAGACGGAGTGATGTAAGTGTCACAGGAAAGAGTGCTGAGGGCAGGGAACAGCAAGAGCAGAGAGGTGGGAACGCACATGATGCGTTGGAAGAAGAGCAAGGAGATGGGCGCACGAGCGGGGGCGGCAGGAGCGGAGGTCAGAGAGGGAACAGCGGGGCCAAGGCAGGACTTTGCTTTGACCCTGAATGAACTGGGAGCCATTGCAGGCTTCTGGGCAGAGCAGTGCAGGATCTGACAAGTTCTGACGGGATCGGTCCAGCTACTGTGTGAAGAATGGATTCCAGGGCGCGAGAAGGAGGCAGGGAGACCCGTGCGGAGGCTGCTGCGCTCATCTGGGTGGGCAATGCAGGTGGTCCAATGATGTGGAGGGGAGGGCCAAATTGCTGATATATTTTGAAAGTTGAACCAATGGGATTTGTCAACAGATTGAATGAGGGAGGAGAGAGAGAGAGGACCCTGGGGTTTAGGCCTGAGTGGGCGAGTGGAAGACGGAGATGAGATGGGGCAGGCTTGGCGGTGAATTTCAGGAGCCCAGTTTGTGCCCTACTGAGGTGGAGCTGCCCACTTCCAAGGGGAGATGTGGCAGAAGGCATTGGCTGGATGGGTCTGGAGTGTGGGAGAGAAGCTCGGGCTGGGCACAGGTACCTGCTGCTATATGAGTCTCCGTGTTTTGCACATAGTAGGTCCTCAGGAAATGTGTGCTGACCAGGCCTGTAGATCTCACGGGGGACACAAAACTGGCCACAGCCCAACTCCTGGCCTCCAGGAGAGGCAGTCAAGGGGCCCAGGACCAACCAAGGGGAGCCACATCCCGAGGACCACGTGCGGCACCGCCAGCATTCCCCAGGTGGCATGGCAGGAGGGAGAGCTGGGAAGGCCTCTTGGCCGAGGTGGTGTAAGAGTCTTGGCAGACAGAGATGGGCATTCTGGGAGTGCAGGTGCTCCTGCTTCAGGGTGAGGCGGGAAACAGGAGGAGGAGGGCCCGGTGGAGTCAGGGTAAAGAGGACGGGCACAGGAGCCCAACCCCCCATTCCAATCTGGGCTCTGGGTCTTTGGGCAAGATATTTAACCTCTGAGGTCTCCATTTTTGTCCCTTAAAATAGGAATGATAACTGTCCCCCCTTCACAGATTGGTGTAGAATCAAAGGAATTAATCCATGTAAATGCACAGAACGAGTGATGGCAGGTGCTCAATAAATGTGACCTATCCACTAGAATTGGGGCCAAAGAAAGTGGCACACTCTAGCTGCCTGGGAGGACAGGGGAGCAGCGGAGAGGCCCTGTGTGAGGGATGTAGGGGCCCAGATAAGGAGGGGACTTCATTCCCTTTACAAAATGGGGAGATGGAAAGTTCTGTGCAAAGAGAAGAGGAGATGTTCCCATCGTCCTTGATTATCCTCCACCTGTGCTCAGCGTGGCCCTCCCGTCCCAGGCCCAACAGTCATCCCAGCAACCTGTCCTTGGGGCTCAGGGACACAGCCCAAGACAGCGAATGCCTGGTGACTACATGCCAGGCCTTCTGAGGCCATCCCTCCTCACGGCAGCCCCATGTGTGAGGTTGTTTCTATGACTACTATGGTTTCCCACATGAGGAAACCAGGGCACAGAAAATGTCACACAGACCAATGTTGTCATGCACATAGCAGGTGGCAGAGCCAAGAGGCAAACCCAGGCAGTGGACTTGACTCCAGAATCCACACTGGCCTCTCCCAGCTCTGAGATTGACCTCAGAGCACCTTGAGAGTGGCTGGGTGTCAGGTGAAGCGTCAACGCCATTGACTCTCCCAGCAGGCAGGGCAGGTCATTGTGCCCGTTTACAGGGAAAGACACTGAGAGGTGGTGCAACTTGTCCAGGACTCCACAGCTTGTCCATGGAGCAGCTGGGACTCCAATCCAGGTCTCAGACTCCAATCCTGGTTCTGGACTCCAGATGTCTGTACTAGGGGCTTGGCAGGCAGGACACACAAAATCGTGAACTTTCTTTAACCTGAGCCTTCTTCAGGGGTGAGGATACTGAGGCCCCTCAGCCTGGAGCTATTTCTGAGGTCTGCACTGGGGATCATTGTCTTCCCCCCACTCCGGGCTGCCCTGGGGCATGTGTCACAGGCCCCTTCACTTCTGTTCCCCTCCTGACTCTTCTCAAAGAGGTTTTCACCCTGAGAGGAGACCTGGCCCACCCATCCCAGCCCTGCCCTGCTGACACTGACTAGAAGACCCAAAAAGCAGGCTTCACTGAATCCTCTTAAGGTTCCACAGCCAGGAAAACCAGCAGAGGGAAATACAAGGATTGCAGACCAGGTCAGGTCCAAGGTCACTCCATAAAAATGGGTTCCCAGAAAAACATAAACCAGCAATTTACCCTGTGAATTTTATTGGCCTAAAAAAAAAAAAAAGAGCGATCCTATTTGAATAATGAAGAGAGATTAACCATTCCGAGTTCCTCCTTTATTAGTGAATAAGGACACACAAACACTCGACAGAAATGGAACATTCACATGAAGCTTCAGGTCCGATTTATTAGCCATTTTTTCCCCATAAAACCCAGCATTTCTATTAAAATAGGATGATTTCCAAAAGGTATGCTTGTTTTTAAGAAAATCGTATTTAATACAGGGCAAGACTTAGTTTTTTTTTTTTTTTTTAATTTTTTAAACAAAGCTCAGATTCTCCTGACTTCTCGCCAGTTACTACAGCCGGAGGGAATCTGATTTCAGAATCCATCCGATATGTCGGATTTCTTTGTGGCATCCACTTCATCGCTCAGCAGCCAGCCATGATGTCATAAGCCCATCAGATTTCCGGTAGGGGGAAAACGCTGGGGAATTGGAAAGAATGGATGTTTCTTACCCGTCAGGAAGGCGGGGGAAGGGGCTGGGTGTGTTTGGGAGGAGAAGCCGCGTGGCTGGTGGCTGGAGGGGACGGGAGGCAGGCTCAATGTTTGTGATATTAAATGTCAGGCAGAAACCTGAAAAGCCCAGCTACCCAGATGTTTTCTCAATATCCAGATGTCTGGCACCAAGCAGCCCACACTCCCCCTCCCAGGAGGCGCTCGACATTTTGGCTTTGACCTCAGGTCTGCAGCGAGCGCGCTGCCAGCAGCCGTACATCCTCTCGGCTGCCCACCCTTGGGTTTGGAATTTTTTTTCTAAATCTTTACACACGGATGACAGGAGTAACTAGGTCCAGATTTTTAAAAGCTGTTGAAGCAGTGATTTGAAAAGTTCAGTCCCTGGAATTAGCTTCCACAGACTACACTATGTAAGCCAAAAAGGAGGAAAAAAAAAATCCCTCAGCCAACACACAAACATATGTGACTCCTAAGCCATCGGACTTAAAACCCCAAACAAAACCATCGAGTCTGAGAACCAAGGACTAAGACTGACACTGAGAAGCAATGAGCCCTCCCCCAGGAGCGCGCTTCCCCCAGATCAGAAAAACATCGAATAGCTTTGTTCTTCCTGACAAAGCCCCTTGCTTCCAAGGAACCGACACTTGCCAACAAAAGCTCAGGGTAGAACTAATTTACACTCAGACTCAGGCTTCAAGGAGTCATAAAGTACAGAATGGAAATGGCTTTTCCTGGGAAGCCGGTCTCCCCACAGCTAGCAATGGAGACCCCCCAGGCCTGGGGCAGGAGCCCCGCAGACCACAGCAGAGGAGGGTCCCGGCCTCCTGATGGCCTGGCCAAGCATCGGCTGAAGCCACCTCCTAAGCTTGTGACATCACAGCTAATTGCTCCTGAAAATGAGCCAGGAACTGCAGGCCCCTCAGGGCCGCAACCCTGTAACTTCACAGGGAGCCAGGAGGAGAGGCAGCTGGAGGGGGGCACTGGCTCCAATTAAAACCAAGTGCCCAGATAACAAGAAAAAGGGGTGGCTGAGGGGACAGTGTCTGGCAGAGGGTGGGAGAAGGTGAGTGGGGGGCGAGGGTGAGGGGCAAGTAGCTCTGTGCCCTCATCTCCTGCAACAACCTCTGTGCTATACAGATGAGGAAATTGAGGCCAGGGATGGCTGAGTGGCCTGCCCAAGGTCACCAGGCTAATTAGCGGGACAGCCAGTACTGGGGAACAGAAAACACAGGTCTGGCATTGCTCAGCTCTTCCCTGAACGTTATCTAATTTAATCTTCACAACACCCTGTGAAGGAGGGATTATCATTAACCTTGGTTTCCAGAGGAGCCAATGGAGGTGCAGAGAGGTTAAGTAATTTTCCCAAGGTCACACAGCTGTCATTAGCAGAACTTGGCCTGAAATTCTGAGTCACTTGATTTTGAATCCAGTGCTCTTTCTGCTGGGTTAAAAGAGGCAGTTAAGTTTTATCTGGGAGCAGTTAATCTGATTTAAATACATATTTAAAATGCTGGTGATCCCCATAGAACACAAGGGAGTAAATCACTGCAAATTAATTTTTTTAAAGCCATTTCAGGCAGGAGGGCTGCCTGGCCGGGTGGGTGGGTGGGGAGGCCTCTTTTATTCTGTTGCTGGCAGAGCCTGAATAAAGCATGTAGATGGTCTCTCTAGCGGTGCATGGCAGCAGCTCAATCCCCTGAAGTGGGGTGGGTGGCACTGGGGGGTGGGGGGGATGTGATAAAAGCTTTGTCAAGCAACTGTGAGGGCATAATCTGCCACAGGAAAGGTGCCAGGTGCACAGGTCTGACAGAGCCAGGGAAGGGAGAAATTCACTGTGTATAGAAACTATGAAAAATAAAAATAAGAGTCAGTTCCTCTGAGCCAGATTCCTACTTTCCAGCTGAGAGTTTCAGTGAGCTGTGGGTCACCCAAGCAGCTCTATGTGTCCCAGAGGCCTGACTCTGGGTCAGAGAGGTGCTACCCAGGCTCCTCTCTCCCCCAAATGGCGGGGGAGGGGCAGTCACTGTGGCCCTGTACCCTGCCATCCTGGGGGCCCCCGCTGGCCTTCTCCTTCTCCCAGAGTAGCACTTGAAGGAAACCAAGCTCCCAAGACCTGGGACAGAAGAAAGTGGGGCAGGCCGGGCACCTGTCCTGGGCCTCCCCCAGCAGGTCCACTCTCCCTCCAGTGGGCAGCCCTGGCGCTGCAGTGGGCTGTCTGTGCCAGGCCTCTCTCTGCTCTCTCCCTCATCAGGTCTGCTGGGTTTTTTTACTTTGTTTCCTTGAATGGCAAATGGGGTATGGAACCCAGTACTTAGGCCAGGGAAGGGGAAAGAAAAGTTTCTGCCATCTGGACGCCTAACCTGGCTGAGTGGCTCCCATTTTTCTGTGAAAATCCTACCCATTCTTTATTCACTTTGCCTACCATCCACCCAGAAGAGATCAGGGTCCTGTCCTAATGGCACTTACAACTGATGGGGGGAGACAAAACTTAACCAATTAATTACACAAAAATATCCACAGAGGGAGTGGTCCCCAGGTTATGGGAGCCCATCACAGTGCAAGTGTCAAGTCAAGGAGGTCAGGGAAGACTTCCTAGAGGAGGTGACACTGGTGCTGGGGCCCAAAGGATGAGAAGGTTGCTGCCCCTCCTCACAGACCTGTCCCCTTCCTGCCTGTCATTCATCATCTATGTCCCTACACTGGTCTGGTAGTCCTGTAAGGGCAGAAACTGGGTCTGCTTATTCGTTGCTGAATTGCCCATGTCTGGCACATAGTAGGTGTTTGATGACTCAAAAGTATAAACAACATGTACAAAGGCTCCATAATAGGAGAAATCACAGAGACTGGGAGGGTATGGGAATAGGAATTGGAACAAAGGGCACTGAGGGTGATGGGAGATGAGATTAAGCCTCCCCAAGAACTACCCTAGACAGGTAGGTACCTCCTCCAGCCAACAGGCAGGCTTCTGCCCTTCCCCTGGCAGAGACTAGGGTAGGATGTCTTCCTTCCCCTGCACAAGAGAGTGTCACATAAATACCCCCACCTGACCTGCCCCTGGCACAGCACCCGGAGAATGAAGTAGGCAGGCACTAGCAACACCTGCCCGGTGCTGTCTCTGCCATAACCTTCCTTCCTCCACTCATTCCTTTGCCTGGTGCTGTGGGGCCACCTGGAGCCACAGCGAGGCGGTGGGAAGCAGACTCAGGGTTCCCAATCCAGGGCCTCCCTGCAGCCCCCAGCATCTATAGACCCTCCTCCCCTATGTCTGGCATCCTTTCTCCTCACACAGGCAGAGGAGGTGAAGGAGAAAAGGAGGCGGACGGTGGGGCCTGAGTCCCCTCCTCTGATTAACAGCGCGTGAAGGGACACCAGTTAGCCTCTTGCCCCCTGATTCCTCACAAGTGAGATGGAGACACCCCAGGCTCCGCCTGGGCCAGGGGACAGAGGGGGTGCTTGGTGAACCCGTCTAAAAGACTCACAATAAATCCCTCTGGTCTTGCTCTAGGTCACTTACTGTCTCCCCAACTCCCTCTCCCTCCTCAGCTGCGGCTTCTGCAGCCCCGGAGGAAGGGGGCGCACGAGTTACAGCAGCTGAGGCTGGGGTTTGCGGGCTCCCCACAAGGCGCCTCCGCCCCGGGGAGGCGCCAGGTGGGTCCCGTCCCCGGCCCCACGCTGCGCCTCGCCCCGCGGAGGCGTGGCTCCGTCTGCACCCAGACGCTCCTCCCGTGCGGCCGGCTCGGCTCGCTCCAGCAAACTTTCCGCGTCTGGGAGCCGCCCGCGTCTACACCTGCCGGCGGTGCCGTGGCGCCTCACGTGTCCCCGGGTCGCTGGAGGGTGCTCAGTCGCTGGTCCGCGGCCCCACAGGCTCCCCAGCCGCGAGTGAGCGGGACTCCCAACTTCAGCCTTGGGGATCAGTCTCGACACCCCCGGATTTCGAAGGCACCTCGGCGGGCCACGTGCGCACGTCTACCCCGCCTCGGCAGCCCCCGGGTCACCGGAGATGCCTCCGCTCAGGGGCCGCGTCTACACCACCCAACGCTCACCAGACCCTCCAGAGCGCGAACCGGGACGCAGACCCCGCGACAGCCGCTCAGTGTGGGGTGATGCCCGCCAGCTCCTCCCGGTGCCCCATCCGTGGAAGAGCCGGCCGGGGGCTGCTTACCTTGCCCGCGCCCTCACGCTCCTGTCCTGGCAGGGCCGTCTCTTTCACGCATTTTGCAATATTGTCAGTGGCGAAAGAAAATGTTATAAATCCTCCTGCGGCCACGTGGCTGTCCCCCTACTCCCCTGTTCCGCTTTTTTCGGCCTTTAAGACAATACTGTGCCCCAGCGGCGGGCCCTGGCCACGGGGCTCCAAGCGGGCGAGGTGGCCACGGCCTGGGGCGGGGCCTGGGCGGGCCTGGGCGGGGCTTGGGCGGGCCGGGGCGGGGCGCGCCGCCTCTGGCCGCCCTCCCCCGGGAAACCGTGGCCTGCGACTAGGGCTCCTGTTCCAGTTCCTGATTGGTCGGCCGGCTGGCGATGCTGAGGCCTGATTGGCTGAGACGAGGAAGGGGTTCAGGCAGTGGGGGTGGGGGTTTCATTCTTGGCCTTTTCTCTCCTGTGGCGGCCACTGCTCTTTGGGGCCCTTCTGAACTCTGCAGCCTTTTCCTTTCTGCCTCTGTTCTCTCCTTCATGACACCACCCCGGGTGGTAACTGCGTTTCCTTGTCCTCTACCAAATAGCACCTGGAGGTCTGGACGTGGGGTTTGTGCTGCTCAACTCTATCTCCAGGGCCTGGCACACCGCAGGTGCTCGAAACGTGTTGGCTGAATGCATTAATAGAAAACGTGCACACAGGTTTTTAGAGCTGCCTTTAATGCTAGTAACACCTCTAGGAGAGGGCATTCCTGTTCCCCATCAAGGATGGGGAAACCGAGGTGCAGAGAAGTGCAGTTACCTAGGAGCAACTGGCAGAGCTCATACTGGGACGTGCTTACATTACTGGTCCTCAGATCTCCTCTACACAGTGACGCCCTTTGGCGTGTCAGAGCCTCAGTTTCCCATCTGTAGAAAGAGAGTTGGATTAGAACAGAAGATGGGTTAGAAGATGAGTTATTTTAATGAATGTGCTGTACCCAGCACTGTGCTTTACAGCATGAATGAGACAGCCCCTGCCTCCATGTTAAAATCCCGGTAACCTCCTGGGCCCTTTCCTTCTCTGGGAACCTTCTCTCCCTCCTGCGCCCATTTGGGGGCATGTGGGGGGATTATTATCCAGAAGGATCCATGGGGACTATCATTAAGCAAACTGACTTGAGCAGGGTTGCTGTTTTCTGGGAAAGGGGGTCCTTGAGAACCCCCCAGGCAGGTCCTTTTGATTGAGGGATGGTGTTTTACATGGAATGGTGGAGAGGGCTTCCTCTGACAAAGGAGGGTGTAGGAGCTGCTTCTGGAAATGGGCAGGGGAGGGTTAATCGGCCAGAAAAATGCTGTCTGAGGTCCCCTCTTCTCTACAGTGGGCAGCCAGATTCAGGCATGCAGAGCAGGAGCTGGCTTGGTGGTGGGTGAATGAGTTCTCCCTGTGTCTGTGTTTTCGCATAGCCTTCTTCTAGGGACACCGGTCACTGGTTTTAGGGACCACATTAACCTGGTAATGACTTCAGCTTAACTTGATTACATCTGTAAAGACCCTATTTTCAAATCAGGTTCCATTCACAGGTATCTGTGGTTGGGATATCAACATATCTTTTGGGGGACACAGTTCAACCCACAACAAGGCTCGGTGAGGAAAGCACATTGGGATGAGAGGGGAGGAGCACGGGCACAGGCCCTGAGGCTGCCAGGGTGGGCCACCCTCCCAGCTGCCTGCTGCTCTCCTGGGCTTCCCTCCAGCTCATCTAGGACCCTGGTACCTGGCAGCTGCCCAAACAGAGCCAGGAGGAAGTCGACCCTCTACATATCAGGCCTCCTCAGGCCTCCCCTTCCAGCTGCCCCTGCCCAGCCTGGTGTCCTGAGGAGTGCCCTGCCTACCGACCCTCCTCCCCCTGCCAGCCTGGTCCCCACCCCCACCACAGCCCGAGATGGACAAGGACAATAAAAGCTGTTTCACAAGCATCTGGTGATTAATCGCCAAGTTAATTAAAGAGGCAGTAATTGCACTCTGATTCCAGAGGAAGAAGTGCTGTCTTGGGCAGGGGTGGGTGGTCAGCTTAGGTCTCCCTGACGAGGTGGAGCCAGAAGACAGAAAGGATCTGAAAAGGCAGGAAGAAAAAAAAAGTAGCATTTTTTTAAAAGTGGGTACTTCAGCCAAGCTGTAATGTTTTATTTGACAGTCAGGTGGTGGGCTTAGATGTTTAAGCTTGTCTCTGTATTTTTCCATGTCTTTGAACTATTTCATTAATAACAACAACAACTAAAGGCTGGGGGTGGGGGACTGGTTAAGAATTTCTAAACGCTAATATGGGATTTATAAACGGCCTCAAATACCAGTGTGCCTTACTTTACACAATGGAGACGGCCTTACAAATACGTGTAAATCGGATCCCGTTTGCCCACTTCGTACATCTTAACGCCACCGACGCTCTATCTTCATTTCTGATTGATTTTCCCTGGCAGAGGCGCCAAATTCTTTGCTTTAAGTGTCAGGCTCTCTCTGTCAAGTAGTTAATGACCTATAAAGCACTTAAAACGTACTGGAGGAGATGCCATTTGGAGGCACCCTGTGGTGTATCCTCTCCTATTGTCAGTAATCACCCCTCATTTATTTGCTCTCATTGGTTTGGAATTCGCTATCAGATTTCCCTAAAGCCGAACTCACAAGGAACGGTCCGATTCTGCACAGATCCAGATGGGTACTGGGGTTAGTACCCAGGGGCAGCAGCAGCAGATGTGGCTTCTTTCTCAAGAGTCCTTCAGCTCAGGTGCCTGGGTCATCCCTCTTGGATGCACATTCCCCGGCTCTGCCTCTTGCCAGCTAAGTGACTGTGGACATTTGCTGCTCCTCTCTGAGCCTCAGTTTCCTCCACCATGATGCCACAGAGCTGCTGCCTGCCTTTGGGTGACTATGAGATGATGCCAGCCTTGTGGGGTCATTGCTCAGAGTGAGAGAAGAAGCCCAAGGTCAGGGTGGACACAGAGGCCATGGCAGGGGCAAGCCCCAGGGTCAGAGCCAGGAGAAAGCATCCCCAAGGAGCACAGAGCAGGGGGAGCCCCTGACTAGGGGCCAGAAGAGCTTCTCAAAAAGGTTGCACTTGGGAGGCTGAATAGTCTCTCCCCGGAGGGAAAGTGGATTCGTTTTCTGTGGCTGCTGTAACCAATTACCACAGACTTGGTGGCTTAAAACAACACACATTTATTCTCTTACTGTTCAGCCAGAAATCCAAAATCAGTTTCAAGAGGCAGACACCAAGGTGTCTGCAGGGCTGTGCACCCTCCAGAGGTTTTGTTTTTATTTATTTATTAACAAAAAAATTTTTTGTTGTTTTGTCTGTTATTTTATTTTGGGTTTTTTTGTTTGTTTTGGGTTTTTTTCTTTTTTAGAGGCTTTGAAGAGTATCTGTTTCATTCCCCTTTCCAACTTCTAGAGCTACATTCCCTGGCTGTGGCCCCTTCCTCCATCTTCAGGGCCAGCAGCGTGGCGTCTTCAAATCTGCCTCTGCTTCCATTGTCACGCTGCCTTCTGCCTTCTGTCTGTAATCTCCCTCTACGTGCCCCTTACAGCGGTGTTTATAATCGTACTAATCCAGGATAGTCTCCCCATCTCAAGATCCTTAATCACATCTGCACAGTCTTTGCCATGTAAGGTAACATTCACAGGTGCCAAGGATTAGAATGTGAACATCTGGAGGGGTGGAGGAACATTATTCAGGCTACCACAGAAAGGCACCAGGCAATGACCATGGGTTCTGAAGCCACTGCTGGAGCTTGAATCTCAGCTGCATCATGTGCCAGCGGTGTGGCCTTGGGCAAGTTGCTACATCTCTCTCTGAGCCCCAGTTTCCTCATCTGCAAATTGGGATCAATGCTCGTCTCCAGATAAGAAATGAGTAGGCATTTAACTATCTATCAGGCAGAGGGAGCTTCAGGAGCCAGATCCTGGAGGCTGAGAGAGGCCCCAGAAAGGCTCTTCTGTAGGAGGAAGGGCAGGAAAGGGGACAGGGCAGGGGAGGCTGGGGTGGAGGGTAATGGACAGGGGACACAGAAGTTGTTTAAACAGGGCAGTTTTTTGTTTGTTTTTGTTTTGTTTTATTGAGATGTAATTCACGTACCATAAAATTCACCCTCTTAAAGCGTACACTTCGGTGGTTTTTAGCATATTCACAAGGTTATGCAACCGTCACCATTATCTGGTTCTAGAATGTTTTCGTCACCACATAAGGAAGCCCCGCACATGTATATTAGCAGTCCCCTAAAGCAGGGCAGTTTCAGGATAGAGCATCCAAAAACTGTCTACAGACTCAAACTCCAGGACTGAACTCAGAAAGAAGATGGGGCGTCCTGAGCACTGAGATGTGGAGGGTAGGAGCTCAGCTCAGGGGCCAGACCAGCCTCGGACAAAGTCCCTCCTCAGCCACCACCACTGCTTCCCCCACTGCCCACAGTTTCCTCACTTTTTCCCGTGAAGCAGGGATAACCCACCACACAGGACCCATGGCAGCCTGGGGGAAAGAGCTTAGGACTGACTTGGCGTCACTACAATTACTATTTTTATTTCTGGACCTGGTCACTTGGCTCCAGAGTTTGCCCTCCTCCCTGGGACTCAGCTGCACAGACTTATCCTAACAGATCCAGGAGGCCAGCAGCTTTCCTGGCTCCACCCTCCATACAGGGCACCTCACGTTCCCCATCCACAGGAGGCAACCCGCCGTGGGGCTGCTGGAGGACAGTGGGTCCCGAATGAGCAGCCCTGAGCCTCCCCCACCAATTCAGCCACTCTTGGGGTGGTCATGACCCGGCCAGAACATGAGGGACGCACAAGGCTTTTCCAGAGCTCCCACCCACCACCACTGGCTGGGCTCAGTTCTGCTGGCTTTTTGGAGGGTCCCAGGCCCTGAACGGTCAGTGGTGTCTGGCCTAGCCTACAGGCAGCTGCAGCAGGAGGGGAAGCCATCTGGTGAAGCGAGAGACAGCAGTCAGGAGATTGCCAAGCCCACTGAGGCATCCCCTGGCAGTGACAGGGGCTTCTGGGATCAATTAGCAGAACCACCCTAACAGGACTCACGGCCCCTGATGCACAGTCTGCAGGCACGTGTCATTGGAGCCTCTTGACAACCTGGCAGCCAGGAATTGAATGGGGGTGGGGGCAGGGGCGCTGCCGGCCTTGTGCCTGGGCCTCGCTTCCAGTAGCACG